GGACAAAAGCAGCAGGGGTTCAGATTAAGGATCCATGTCTCACACTGTTTTTATTCCAGTGAATTATTTAAAAGTTAATACTTAAGTGGCTAACACATAAAAGGTCTTATCCTAAAGGGGAAGCAGGCACAATTAGGTAGCCTTCCACCCTCATATCAGCACCTCATCTGCATTTGTTTTGCACTGACACAGATGTAAGCATGAGGACTGCAGGTGAGTAGGGCAAGCTGTAACAAGGGTGAGAGCAAGGTTCCTTCTCTAAGCTTAGTACTTGCTAAATTTGGGCCCAATCCCTCCTTTAAGGGAATCCTTCCAACTTCCATTTGCTTGAGAAAGATTTCTGAATGCTTAACTCCCTGTTTGACTTCCTGGGCTAGAAAGCTTCTTACAGTTTTAATGCACTGAAATGCAGGTGTTTTACAGTGACAAAATTCCAATTTTTTTCTTAAAACAAAGCTGAAAAGTAAGAAAACTTGATATACACAATTCAAATTTTGTTTTGAAGATCTATTAGTTCTATAACAGCTATTAGGCATTTAAATTTAGCATGTGTTCATCGTTTTATCTGCCTTTACCATAAGGCATCATTTCAATTTCTTACTTAGCTGCCATTTTACAGCTTGCTGCAATTCCACCTGCCTCCTATTAAAAAAAAAAAAAAAAAAAAAAAAAATTCAAAGGCCAACTTCAGGGCTTTTAAGGCAGCTTCCAAGCTCCCTCCTCCTTCTCCCCCCTCTTAAACTGAGGATTTTCTGTATAAGTAATTGTATTTGACCTATTTATTTGCTGGCACACTACCTTTTTTTTTTTCCTTTCACAGAAGAAGGGGAAGAGAAGGAAGGAAGTGTTAAAGTAGCCTCTGCCTAATAATTTTAAACCAAGCTCTACACAGGAAGGTAGGCTCTCACACCATGACAGTTACTCTTATTTACCAAGAATGACTTAGCTACATTCCCCTATCCCCAGAGGGTGACAGCTGAACAACTACTTAACAGACCGGCAAAAATGCTTGCCTGTGTGTTTCTTGGAGCCATCTACACATAATATTTGTATTGCAAGGGAAAGCCTTCTTACTAGCAAACCAACTTTAAAAACCCTCCCAATTTTGACTGATGTTAGCCTTGGCTTCATAGGCATGTATAGAAAAAAGCAACTTTACTCCTTTTGCAGACATTGTCTGTATCTGCCCCTGTGAACGGAGTGGAGCAGCTGGGGCAGCTTGGGGCTGCCATGGAGCTTTCAGGATGAAGGAGAAAGCACCTCTCTGATCCTAGGATGCTCTACAAAAGCTTTTCTACCAAGAAGCTGCTGGAGGAGGAAACGGCACTGCCTCCTAAGGAGGTGTCTCCCATCAGGGAGGAAACCTGCCATAGAGGGCAGCTGCTTACCATCACTGCCACCCTCATCACCTGCCCCCACAAAAATTGCTGCATGTATGTGAGAGGGGAGCATGTAGAGCCCTTCTCCATGCCCCAAGTATAGGCATCTGCTTTTGCATCCTCTCTACAGCCATGAGAAGCATCAGACACACACAAAGAAAATGAGCTGTATGCACAGGAGGTGTTTCTGCATTTGCTCAGACAGAAGATGTACAGAGGAAGACAGTATTTACTCTGAGGATTACCTATCTTTTTTTTTTAATTCTGAGAGTCAGTATTTTTATTTACACTTTTTATATAAAACAACTCAGGATCACTCCTTAAAATATTCTGTATATTTTAACGACATTTTTCCTAGGATCAGTATTTCATGAAATAAATAAAATAAGAAACAGGCTATAATCCAGCCTGTATCCTTGATTTCTCTTCCTTCTATTTTTCCTTTGTTTCTTTATCAAATCCTGCACCAGAACACAGAGTCCCATTAACAGCAATAAATTGTCATCTACAGATTTCAGTGTTGCATAATTTTTACTTAATACTTAAATGTCGATGTATGTGTTGTATTGTACTTTATTGGCAGTTGCCACAGCAGAAGACATTCATGGACCTGCAAGTTAGTCAAATTGACAGTTGCTCTAGGCAGAACTCAAGACTTCCTCTAGAAGAACATGGTGTCTAAGGCCTTATCAGACATGTTGCTGTCGAACTTGGGGTGAAATCTTTGATTAAGAAAATAAGACTTAACAGAGCCTGAAGCATTTTCTAAGACCATGCTTAGAAGACAAGACGAAGTTTGTAATTCAATTTATTGTATGCTTCCCCCTAATTTGCACGTTCAAGGGGCAACTCAGATTCTCAGCATCATCTGTTATCTGTGCTGACTTCCAACAGGACCTGATCCACTTTCTTAAGTTGTTTTGGTTTGTTTTTCTTACAACAGCACTGGCTACATCTAGGTTTGCAGACAAAGCAAGCTACTTCCTTCAGAGCTATGATCTGTATCACACTCTGGGAATCCCAGTAATATGATGGCTAAAAACATGTAATTATGTCATCACTACATCAGCCCACTCTTCTCAACAGTGTGTCCGCTGAATGTCAACACTGGTGAAGGCATCAAATGCATGACAGCCATCTTGAACTATATACCTGAGGCCTGGCTGGCTGCTTACTTCGTTCATGTAATGAGTCTACATAGAAATACCAACATAATTTTTCTCCTAAGTGAAAAAGTAGAATAATGACCGTTAATCTCTGAAGGTGATACTTTGTTGAACTGCTTGTATTGTGCAGGCTCAAAACAGGTTGCTTGATCCATAAACACTGAAGTTAAGGTGTAGCAGTTGGATTTTCCAATAGGACTATTTGCTGCTGGCAGGCAGCTGACTGCACAGAGGCTCAGCGTAACTGCGGGCAATCCTCCCGCATCCTCCAGCAGTTCTCTCTTTGAACTTCTCAGGTTTTTATGCCTCTGTCCTACTGTGGTATTCTGAAATTGACATTGTGTGCAGTGTATCGGAGCACTATTCACCTTCTTTAAAGACAGTCTGTGCTGACATACATATTAACAAATGTTAATTGCTTCATCAAAGTCTAGGTTTTACTCTTCTGAGAGTCTTTATCCAAGTTTTGGTTTCAGATCCTGCTTAGATCTCTTATCAGAGACTGTTCCTTAAACTGTAAAATGCTTTTTCTTTATTCCACTAACTCTTCCATATATTTGCATCTTCCTGCAGCCTATGTTTAAAACATACCACTCGTCTTTTGCTTTCGTGTGGTCTTTGGTACCCTTCCAGGGTCTGCAATAGCTGCATTGTGTCTTTTGCCTGAGCTTAACTGAAAACAATGAAAAACCTCTATTACTTCAGAAACTGTTATTATGAGAAATACAATTTTATGTCTTCCACAGTCATAAAACACTTAGACAAATCACTCAATAAAGAAACAATAGCAAGATATAATTTATAGCTGACTTGTAATGAGTTGCTAATTTGCTTACTACTGGAGGTATTTTACCTCTGAACAGACCAAGTTTTTTATACAGAATTGAACCACTAACAGTTAAAAAAGCCTTTACTAAAAAGGTTCCATAAGAGCTGCCTAGAAATAGGTAAACAGCACCTCATTTCCACATCCTAAACAAATAGGGTCACATTAATAAAAATAAAGACAGCAGTACTCCTAAAAGCAAATAGTCATATTGGAAAATGCAACTGCTACACCTTAACAACTTCAGTGTTTATGGATGTTCAACCTGTTTTGAGCCTGTACAATACAAGTAGTTCAGCAAAGCATCATCTTCAGAGACTAACAGTCATTATTCCACTTTTTAAAAGTCTTCTACAGCACTTGATCCCTGGAGCACTTAAATGCAGAAACCAATATCCTGACACTGAATTTGTGGATTCCTGTATTCTCTATTCATACAGAACTCTCCTTGAATGCAGAGACTGTATGGAAAAATGATCAATTTGTCTGACCCCAGTGTTTCTGTTTTACAGCAATTCAGGGCATGTCTTTCAGGCTTCTATATAAGATTATGCTTCATCCAGTCTGGCTTAAATTATTAGTGTAAAAGAACCCTAAGAGTTACAGGTTTAGCATATGTTTAGCTACAAACAAAACAAAAAATCAGGTAGTCCAAAATCACTACATTAATTCATAGCCTAGAGCTGTCATGGGGTACAGCTGCTTTCTAACTTGTGTTGGAATTAGACTGCTCTAGGCATTCAGAGGGCTACTATGAAACAGGAGGTACCCTGGCACCCTTGTGTCAAGTAATTCTGAAAGACCTGTTCCTCAAGAGCTCAGCAGTTCAAAGGGCACATGATAGTCTGATCTGGCTGCACAAGTGACTGACCAGAGCACGTCAAGCTTTAGAGGATACATGGGTGTTGAATAAAAGTGTTTTGATGCCATTCAAGGGAAGATTGTTGTGAACTGAATGTACCTGGAAGGCCTGTGCTGGGGGGATACAAAGCTATTTTTTATTAAAAGATGTCCAGAGAGCAAAGAGTGTTATATTAATTCACTTCAACTATGACCATGTCAAGGGAGGTAGACATTAATTTATACAGGCTTTTATTTAGAGAAAAGGAAAATGAGGCTGCCCAAAGCACGAATGGGAGTTAGACATCAAATGCCACTGAGATTTAAATGCCAACTAGCTGATCCCCTTTCTCCTTACCACCCTCCAAAAACCCCCAATAAAAAACCCCACCCCACCAACCAGCTTCCCCATAACAGATGACTTAATTTTTCTCAATAACGAAAGAAAAAAAGGGAGTGGCAGAGACAATTTAATCAGAGGAAGGAGTGGTAATTTTAAAAGTCAGTCAATGGCTTTTTTGACAAGTCATTAGCCTAAGATCATGAGCCATTATTTCCAGACACTATGACTACACTGACAGTCACAAGGTTATGGCAAACATTGATAAAAAAACCGTCACCATAAAACAACCCATTTTGTTATGGAAACGTTTGTATGTGGGAGCATATCAAACCCATAATCCTTCCTACCATAAATGAACTAAACATTTTAATGTCCCTAACATTCTTCCCCGACCCTATGTCCTGGTCTGTGTTACTTGGAGTCCTCAAGTGTCAAGGTATTCTTACCTTTACGCCATGGCCAACATCATCCAGAACTGTGTAGTCTATAGGTTTTCGAATATACCTTACAGGACGTTCCATGTTCGCTGGCGCTATAATTTTGTGAGTTCTCGATGTGTTCTTATTGGTCGTCAAAATGCCTATCTCTCTGCGAGCGACCTTTTCTTTATGGATGTCCACAGTCTAGATTAAAAACAAGAAAGTATGGGTTTCTTTAGGCATTTGCTGTTTTCTTTACAGAGCTATCTACATGTTTCGGCTTCACTAGAAGACAAACAGTCTGGACCAAGTTAATGCTGCTGGAAGGATGCCAGTTTATTGACGAAATGAGTTTAATCTACATCAACACTGTTTGAAAATTACACTTTAATGAAGTAACCAATATTAATAATAAAAATACAATTATACATTACTGCTTTGACACTATAAAGACACTATGCAGATACAGTACTTACAGATTAACCCTCAACGTTCTTATGACTGACACTAGTAATAAATTACTCCAACTCCACAGCTGAGAAACCAGGACAGACAAGCTCAGCAATTTGTCTGCAGCCCCAGAGGGGGACTAAGCTTGGGAAGTCTGTGTGGTAATTTCTTTCAGCAAAGCCATCAGTGCATATCAGAGTAAGAGTCTGCATAGGGAAGAACTAATTTCAGCACTGAGGTTAGTTTCAATCATACTGTTTATAGCAGCTTTACTAAAAGAATAAAACAGAGCCTTAGAGATGCAAGTAAAGGAATATAAAATAGGCTAAGCTCCATCATTTTATTAGGAAACACCTAAAGAGACAAAGAAAGGTCAGTCCATCAGTCTGTGAAGGATCAAACTAAGCCTCATGTAACAGACACATGCTTCTACAGGCAATATAACCACAGCTTAAAGCCTAGCTGAAGGAGAACAAGTACAAATCAAGCATCAGATGCCATAGGAAGTCCCATCTCTAGGAAGCCTATTTCAAAATTCAGGGATTGAATTTACTGGTTTAAGTACCTACTAGAACCTCAAGATCTCATTGCAGGAGATGGTATCTAACACAAAACACCACTCTAAGTGACTCTGAACAAAACCTATGAAGCCACCATTTTTTCCACTAAGGAAAATAATTCTCAGTCTGTAAGCATGAATTCCTCCTGGAGAAACTGTCACAGAAACAAGAGAGTCAGGGTTCAGAAAGAAAGAAAAATCATTGTCCATCAGTATTCATTTAGGTATGGCTCTAGAAATGGCCTAATCTAAAATGGATATTGTGATACGCAAGGTTTTGTTTAGTGAAGTAGAGTCAAATATGAAGCACAAAATTAGTTTATCTTTCACTCTACTTCTAGATGAGGCAAGATGAAAAAAGGTAAGCATCCAGGAAATGACCATTTCTAGGAAAACCACCATTCAGTGTTCAGAGTTCACTATGAAATGCCTTCAACTGAACTGTTTTTTCATTAACTGGTGCACACACTCAAATAATATTAAATTCTCCTGAGTAAGTACAGAAAGAAATAAAATCCTGCTTAACAGCTTTGATACATGGCATTGCAGATTACAAGTAGGAACACAAGTGGAGAAGCACCTAAAAAGCAGTGATATCAAGGAAGCTTGTTTTCACAGCTTAAAGCTAAATAACAGACAACTTGTAACATCGCAAGAGGTTCTTTTACTTTGGCAGCACACAGATTCTTAACAGGAACAAGAGTTGTGATTTTCCAGCACAATGCACAACATTTGATGTGTATGTCTGCATTAGCTTATTTGGAATAAGTTAATTAAATATCCCAATAAAGCTTTGGAGCAAGCTTTATTGTTCTAAATGCTTATGCTCTGAAAAATCCTCAAGTTGGGAAAAAGGCATCTTTCCAAATGAGATGATCCTATATATCAAGCATTTACCACTACATCAGTATCAAGCTATCAGCCACTATACCCATGTTTGCTCTAGCAGCCAATTTCACAGAAGACAGAGTGAAGACTTAAGACCAAGACTAATCATGTTTCTTCAACCCCAGCTATTATTTGTTCTTTTTCCTTTTAGAAACTAAAATATACATGTTAGTTCTGCCTTTTAGTCTGCTTTCAGCGAGATCAAGAAACATTATCCCAGTGCTGTGCTACATGTTCTTAGATCGTATCTCTTCCAATTCCTCTGTACAACCTGAACCCTTTTGTTCAATGATAATACCAGGTCTCAAGCTATCTTACAGAACTCTTTAATAATAAGCAACTCTTCATATTTCGTAATACATGAGCACTGCATAGGTGAAAAGAACTTTATTTAGAGTCAACTAAACAACATAGCAACATAGGAGGCCGAGGAGAATGTTAATTTAAGGAACATACTACAATGTTTTAAAAGAGGGTATTCTAAAATAGTTCTATACCCCTTGAAATAAATTAATGCTTCTACTTTATTTTCACAAAAAGAATCTGTTGTTACTAATAATTTCTTTTTTTTGTTCAGTGGATGGGCCAAAATGCATCTTTATACTAAGAGTTCTCTTAACATTTATGTCAAAATAAAAAAGAAACAAAACAAACCAAAGCCCTTCACAGTACAAAAAGATGTATCTTCTCCTAGCAGGTAGTCCATGAAAACTGACACTTCCTTCCTGCAATGAACCATGAAAATTCCATAAATTACTAGAGCAGAGGATAAGAAATTCCAGGAACAGATGCCATATCATACATGCTTTGGAAAATGACTTAAGTAATCTTGCAACAGATTCTTGTTAATGGAGAAAAACCCTTAGAACGGGAAAAGAGCATGTATTAATTCTATCAGACAGCTTATCCAAAATTAAACATAGAGCAGCGATTTGTAAAGTCTTTCCCTGGATTTCAGTAATGTAAACCAAGCAAAGAGAAGACTATCTGTATCACAGTGCAGGGCCAGCAACTTAGGGCACATGTGTAAACCTTGAACGGCGTGCAGGCATGCCTGTGCAAGAGACTAATTCGCGGTTCAAAGCAACTCTTACCACATCTGGTACACTGCAAAAGCAAAGCGGTATTTTGCCCCTATGCAAAGCAAAGGCTCCCAGCATATGCTCTGCCCAGAGCAATATGCTGCCCATGAGCCACTAGACAGCATCTTGCTTCTTCAAGAAGAAATTACTTTTTCTAGATCTATAGAGACTGCATGTTATTAGCTGTTACATGATCATTATGCAAAACAAAGCACATAACAGTTGTTCATTTTAGTATTTATATTTATTTGCTTGATATTGATGTGGAAGTTTATTGTTTAGTGATAGGCAATGTTTTTCACTTCCAAAAGAGGAAAAACCCAGAACACAAGCGATTTTTAGCCGGATAGCATAGCTATCCAGCCAGACAACAGTTAATTCCTAAGAGAGACAAGCCACCTATACCAGGTAACAGCCAAACTAAACCATTCTCAAAGCTCTGGCCACCTGTAGCTATGAGTAAGTGTCCACTCATGATATGGTAACAAGATAGCTAAACAGTAGTTTATGATTACATGCACAAAACCTACTGTTAAACATCAAAGATGAAGGGGAGCAAAATACAGCAAACCAACTTGGGTTAACACAGGTTAACAAGCACTAGCAAACAGTCAGACCAGCTTCATGGCCTATGCTGAAACATAAATACACATAGCATAATTTAAAATCTGTGGAATAGGCATGGGTTTCTCACTTGTAGACAAAATCCAGCAAGAAAAAGTCCAGCATCGTACTGATTTGGAAAAGAGGGAGAAGACAGCCCTTCCAAAAGCACAACATGTTTCCTCTGGGAAGCAAATTTAAACTAAACCATGAAAGAAACCCCTTTGCCATTATAACTGGGTTCTAGGGACCATGCCAGCTAATCTCAGAAGCAAAGTTAAGCTTGGAGGTTAAAGGAACTGTTAATGATTAGCTGCCTCCACTATCTGTCTGCTTCAAACCATATGAAAAAAACAGTTAATCAACAGGATGTAGAGTTAAAATTTAACTGTTTGCTTCCTCAGAAGTAGCCTCAAGGCCAAGTGCAGCACAGCAATGATACAGCAAATAGTTGTTCTTTTCTGTTCTTTTTCTGTGCTGCAGATACCGCTCTACCCATGTGCTACAGTCTGCAGTCCCGGGACAAACGCTTTACAAGAAACAGACTGCAGTACATTTGGCCAAGATAATTTGAGAATATCTAAATATTTTAATAAAGCCCACATATATAGGGATATTTAAATAAAAAAGGAAAAAGGAAAACAACTTCAAGCTTTAACAACCTTTTTAATCCTGAACCACTGCAACTCAAATTTTTGAGCCAGGTACTCACACACCCACTGCATCTCTGACTAAATGCATGCTGAGCTGGTGAAAGGGGTGGGGTGGGGGGGAGATCTCTGTCAAACCAATTCAGCTAACCAGGCACTGGCAATTTCAGGCTATGCTGAAGGACAAGACAACTCACTACACTAATACCACAGAATTAGACCAAGCAATTGCCCTTTAGATTTGTGTTAAATTAACTGATAATCTAGAAGCATTGTGCAGGAAAACTCCACTTCGGGTTTCCTACTCTGCTCCTCCCCAGGTCCTCAAGAATGAAGCTTGAGCAGCACACACACTCACCGGGCAGAGGGGACAGGAGAAGCGCTGTGTGGTGCTGCACAACTATCTTACCAGCAGGCTGGAAAAAGCTGCCAGGCTTTTGGGAAGAGTGGAGTAACAGTTAGGGGAGAGAAGGACAACTTCCCAGGCCTAAACAGTGAAAATGGTGGCTATCAGGTAAAAACAGTAGACAAACAACCCCTCCACAAAAGAGAGTCTAAGGTACAGTGTAAGAAGCTACAAATTTAAAAAAAGGGGGGGGGCGGGGAAGAACACCAAAACCAAAAAACCCAAAATCTACCACCCTACCACCAAAATCAAACCACCACACACATTCACCCATGAATTTGAGGATGAGTAAAAAGTAACTTCAAAGGCATTTCCTTGATTTAAAAATCTAACATCCAAAACACATTAGACAAAAAAAATCCTAAACTTACACCACCATTTTTACTGACAGTTTTTCAGGCCATTTCAGGCAATGGTTTTAAGAACTTTCATTTTCACATCATGAATGTCCTTCAAACAAATGTCCTGTGATGCACAGAGCTGCAAGTCCATAACTTTTCAATTTGTCCCTAGGCTCACTCAGACAAGAAGGAACATAGGCTCAAACTCCACAGGCTTCCTCAA